TGCTGCTTTTAAAAACTGGAGATCTGTATTTGGCAAGTTGCTTAGTGATCTTCTGGTCTAATATATAATTAAAACTAGTTTGAATGTGATAGATCTCCAGTGGAATTCAAGACACATGAAAAAGGAAGGCATAATATATTATTTCACATGTACATTATGTGTCCCTCTATATCATAGAGTTTAAAGCCTAAAAATGTTAAATCTTAGGGAATTATCTTGTCTAAATCTCCTCTTACAAAACAGCAGTAGTTGTCCTCAGAGATTGTTGAAGTCACCATGATCACAGGGTATTTTTAAGAAAAAATACATAAGTAACCGTATACCAATTAATTATTAAAAACTACTTAGGTAACTTTGTAAAACAGTAGAAAATTAACTTTTAAGATTTTTTTTCTATTAAGTTCCTCTTCAGTAAGTGGGAAGTTAAATTTTTAAAAATGAAATACACTCCATTTATGGATGAAAGCCTTCTAGAATGAGTAGTCTGTATTTCCTAGGTCCTGTTAACCTACCTCACATTCATACCACTTCTTGCTGTAGTGTGAATACTCAACCTTCCTAACCCATTCCACTCAAATGACTCACACAAAGGTTTTATTCAATAGGTATCTTTCAGTTTTTAACCAACTTGGCTACAGACAATCCTCGGGTTATGGATGACCTGACTTCTGGTGTTCTGTACTTATGAACGGGCTCCGGAGGCTCCCCATAAGGATAAATTATAATAATTTAATTAATAATTCTGGAACTAGTTTCTTCCACGCGTGTAAACAAACCCACGTGGCGTAAGCGGCTTGTTAGCACAGCATCTTTACGCTGGCAGCTAGTCTCGTTGTTTATACAGTCGCTTATGCGCAGCATCACTTTCATCTTGACTTTTTAATCTGATTTCGTGAGTCTGTGTTTACCCTTATGACCATGCCTCCAAAGTGAAAGTCCACCGCAAGCCCAGGCGGCCCTGCAGTGAGCAGAAAGGTGATTACAATGGAGACAAAAGTAGAAATAATTAAGCCCTCAGAGAAAGGCCAGATACCCTCATTTATTGGGAAAGCATTAGGCTTCAGTTGCTGTGGAGTAATAATAAAGGATAAAGTGAGAATAATGGAACATGTGAAAGGCAGTGCTCCAATAGAAAGCATCAATTATTACTAAGCAGCGTAGTGGATTAATTACTGAAATGTAAAGATTATTATTGATTTGGTTAGAAGATCAAAACAAAGCATAACATTCCTATTAACCTAGGAATTAAAAGAAAGAGCACAATAGTTTTTGTAACTTATTACTACAGGACAGGGGTATTATTATTATTACAGTATTATACTGTATTATTATTACCACATATGAGCCATTATAGTATTATTATTATCATTACCATGTATACACTGTCAGGCATCTGAGTTAAATGCACATCCAACCTAAAGACGTTCTCAGTAACGTATCTCATCTGTAACACAGGGACCTCCTGTATTCTCTTTCACTAAAATGGTAGACCACACTCTCCTTGAAACGTGCTTTTGGTTTGATTTATCTGAAACTGCTTTTAGGTCCTCTTCCTAAGTTCTATTTCTCTTTGATTTCTGCCTTGGGCTTCTCTCCTTTGTCTGTCTTTTCAAGTCTCCTTTTTATGGCTCTATCTTTGGTTTTATTCTTTTCTTCCTTTATTATTTTCTGATGGTCTCATCATGCCCCTTGCTTGAATAGCTACCTGTACATATACGGAAAACCTTATTTCTCACAGAGATACCTCATTGTGTCCCAAACTGAAATCTCTCATCTTCCAAAATGGCTTCTCTTTCTCTTTGCCCTTATCTAACTGAATGGTGTCACTCTCTCATTCTCATATGAGTTCAAACTGAGAGAATTACATCAGATACTCTCCTCATTCTAAGCCACTATATCTAGTCACCAAAATGTCTTGAAAATTCCTCCTGTGTCCCTCTAAAATCTGTTTTTTCTTGACCCTTGCTGTAGCCCTAACCCAGTCTTATTGTTTCTTGTCTGGAGTATTAAGATATTTTCATAAAATTGGTCTTCCTTAAATTGCTTTTACCTGCCCTGTCACCAATTCCTTCTCTGTTCTGTGGTCAGGGTTACTCAAATTTCTCCAGGCATAATGAATCATTCTTGCCTTTGTCTTTTCTGTGTTGCCCTAATATTTTCATGCACATTGCAGTTAGACCACTTATCACATTTATTGTAAATATTTATTTATATGTCTTTTTTATTCCTCTATTGTATTCCTAGTCTCTAGTCCAGTGGTTGGAAAATAGATAGCTAATACATGTTTTTGAGACAGTGAATGGCTCAATGTTATAAATTTTATATGGGGGGGGTTAGCTAAAATATTAATTGTTTTCAAACTTGACCTTACAGATTATCCATTTTCTTTGGTATCCATCCAGCAGTTCTAGATTAGGGCTCCCACCTCCATAAATAACTATAACTTTGATTTTTCTAATGAGAACTATTAT